CATACTTCTATGGGAACAGTTATAAGCTTTCCATAATTAATCACCCCCCTTCACTTATATTTTATAAAACATTAACTAATTAAAATGTTCCCGTCCTTTCCTAATTCAATTCTCTCATTTATTTTATTTCATTTATTTTATTAACAAACATTTCACTAGATTACAGTAACTATTTTATCCCTCATTTTAATCGTACATTGTTTCCAATTTTCTAAAATTATTTCTATTACTAATATAACAATACAATCTTATGTACCTTTACAGAATCCCTTTTTCAGTTAAATTTTCACCCATTATCTCTAAATAGGCCCTGTTTCTCTATATCTTGTGTCTGTCCCTTGTAACTTCTTTTCCCTTCCTTCTTCCCTCTCTTCTTCTCTCTCCCCCTTTTACCCCCTTGTCTCTCTGCCTCTATTTCTCTCTTCTGTATTCCCCTCTTCTGTTGCTTTCCAATATTATACTTATTTTTCGAACTATTTTTCTTTTCTTTGGTTGTTTTTTTAAGTCTTAAATTCTCCATTCTCTTTCCCCCCTTTCATTTTTCTTCCCCACATAGAATTACTTGTTCATTAAAGATGCTTCTTCTTTGTCCCAGTCTTCTTGTTTTGCAGATGTTTCTTGTTGTTTCTCATAGTTCCAAATCTCCATTTCTAAGAATTGAAAAATGAAGCCAAAAGAACCCCTCCCTTCTTGTGCATCTTCTTTGTACTTTTTAAGTTCCATTTTCAATTCATCCAGAAGCAGTGCCATTGTATAAATTTTTAAACAACCACCCGATTAATTTTAGTCATTCAAATGCAATAACCAAGAATCCAAAGATCACCAAGTAATCTAAATACACGCAAGCTGTTTCTTTTTGCCTTTTTTCCCCCCACTTTCTATTCCTGCGGTTCTGCTATTTAGTTGCCAAGTTTCAGTTGAAATGTATCTTTTAGAAGTCTTGCTGAAGTTTTACTGTAGACCCCTTTTAATCCCAGGCAGTCTCCTCTCTTTTTTCCAGATCCTGCCCTTTTATTCTTTTTCTCTCCTTTCCTGCTTATAAAATTTTTTTAGTGTCCAGAAATCTTTATTATCCCTTTGACATTTTGTTTTATTTTCAGCTTAATTGCCTGTTGATGTCAAAGTGAATTTTTTTTCTGATTTCTTCTTTAAGTCTCTTAGTTGTCAGTATAGGGAAAGGGAGAGAAGAAAAAAAACCCAAACCTTTCCCTTTTCACTTTCCTTCGCTGCTTCAGAATCTTCTTTGGGAACAATGTTGTTTTTCTTTTGGTTAAATTCCAGGGTACCTTAGTTGTTGCTTTTGCAATTTAACCCGGTCAGCCGAAACTTTCACTTCTTATCTTCCTCCTGCACATTCTTTTCCGGTCGAGTTCTTCTTTGAGGTGGCCATTTCTGACCACCGCTGCAACCGCCTTCAGGAAAGGGAGTAATGGCCAGCTGAGGAGGAGAGATGCAGCTCTCCTCAACCCTGCTGGCAGTCTCCCCACTCTTCACCACCTCTACGGGGTGGCTTAGCCCCGAAACCAGCCAGCTCAGGGCGCTCCAGCAGCAAGCCCAGACCGAAACCGCGCACGATCGCAGATTTCTGTCTGTCGCCGAAGAAGCTCTGAAACTTCATTCTGTCAGTCTTGCTTTATTTTGCAATGAAAAATGTGAGAAAAATCTTCAAATATACCTTTCGCTAAAGCAAACTTTTGTATACATCTCACATATCTAGTTTTCTGCTGTGTATCTATTATACAGTATATATACATTTTCTCTATTATATTAATTTTATATGCCCTTTTCTCAAATGTATCTATTTTTGTATGTAAAGTCCTCAAAAGGCATTCACACCAGAAATAGTTGGTGCCCAAGCATAAGGTGACCAACCGTCCTCATTTAGGGAGGACAGCCCTCCTTTTGTAAGTTCTGTCCTCTCTCGAAAAGTGTCCTCCTACATGTCCTCCTTTTTGATATTTGAAGACTAATCTGTAAATCTCCGTATTTGATTGATGGTGAGGTGATCCGTTGTGTGTGATGTGACATATTTGTATTTGACATGACGATTCATCAAGGCTCGGTACAGTGCAGCGAGACACGATTATGAGACGCATGTGCTTCACGCAGGAGAATTGTTTTGAGAGAGTGCGCCGTGCACAAGAGTGCACCTCATGCAAGTGGCTTTGTTTTTTTTTCTCTTCAATTTATTTGTGTTCTCCTTCTCTTGTAAAAAAGTTGGTCACCTTACTCAAGCATGCTGTGACTTACCAAATATTTGCTAAATAAATAAATGGTTTGACATCTTCTTTCTATCATTTACATTATACGTAACTGATGTGTATGCTATTGCTTTTTTTTCCTGGATACTAACAGTGGATTGAAGGTTGTTGTTTTTTTTAAGTTGTCAAGAAAAACTTTAAAAAAAGAAGATGGATAATGCTTTTGAGAGAAGGAACATTTAGGGGATAGAAAGCAACTCTTTTTACCTCAGTTGTGCGGCACTTCCTTCACGTACTTCAACTGTGAGCTTTTATGTATGTTGGCATTAATAATCAAACCCGAATTTCTGCAGCATTATTTATTATTAAATTTTTATCTCATCTTTATTTTGGGTCAACTTGAGTTGCTGTACTTACCTAATATTCTTTTCTCCTATTTTCCCTGTACTTGTGAAGTGAATTGGGCTGAAAGAAAGTTAACTGGTCCAAAGTCACCTAGTTAGTTTACGTGTCTAAAGGAGGATTAGAATTAATGGCCTTCTAGTTGCTAGTCCAGTATCTTGGTAGCAAATTGTATTGGCTTAGGGCACTATTTCATTTAAATGAGTAGAACTAATGGAATTGCTACCAAACAATGCATTTAAACAGAAACTTTAAAAGTTTCAGTGAAAGATTTCACTATCATTAATTTTACTTTATTGATCAGCCGTTTACTTTGCTTTTTGCAATGATTAAAAAAAAACATGTTCCTGCAAAAATAAAACAAATTTATATGAGATTTAAGAGAAATCTGGACATAGAAACTGCAATTGTGGCTTTGGGAAATGTTCACTCTGAATATTATTATTAGAGACCTTATGCTTAAATTACACTGATAGAATTCTGAAAACATACTGAGGTCACCAATCATGAAACAATTGTAGCTTGTTTTTGTCAATGTCTTCTCATACTTGTTGGGGTGGAAGAGGAAGTGGATGAGCTGTCTGGCAAGCAATGATGCTATGAAGACCATCTCCAATGAACAAGGCTTGTGATGTTTTTGTATATGATATGGTATCTGGAACATTACTTGATCAGGAAGACTCTTTTCATCTTGTATGAAAAGAGCCGTGGTGGCGCAGTGGTTAGAGTGCAGTACTGCAGGCTACTTTTGCTGACTGCCATCTGCCTGCAATTTGGCAGTTCGAATCTCACCAGGCTCAAAGTTGACTCAGCCTTCCAACCTTCCAAGGTCGGTAAAATGAGGACCCAGATTGTTGGGGGCAATATTTTAACTCTGTAAACCGCTTAGAGAGGGTTGTAAGGCATTGTAAAGCGGTATATAAGTCTACGTGCTATTGCTATTGTATGAAGACCCCGACACTGACTTTGGATCAGGCAATCACAACTTATAAATATGTGAGATTGAGATGTGACTATGCTGCAATTTTGGTACTATTCATTGCCAAAATTACATTTTTTAAGTCTAAAAGGGTTACTAAAATATTAATATTCATTTTTAATGTGAATAAATCTTGTGAGTTTTAAGGGTCTGATTCTGCATGTGCTTCCTATAAATTTCTTGGTATTATTTCAGGAGAATTATTGATGAGACCGAGGAATGTCAGTGCTGGGGAACCATTGTGAGTTATACAGGAAATTTCACAGTTCATGTAGTTGTGTTGTTCAACTAATGTTTGCTTCAATAAGTCAAAAAGTATGGAGAGGAAAGACATAATAACTGAGTAACTTTTTTTCTGTTCTGCAGCAATGCTAATTATTTTCAGTGCTGATATTCAGCTCATCCCTATGGTGCCTTAAGCTCTACCTAATGGACTAATTATTTTGGCATTGTTGATTTCTGTGCTGTTTGGTATTCTCCAGGAAAGGGAGAACCCATGAATGAAATATTTGGGCAGGCATGCATAATTCCCAATCCCCCAAACCAGAAGATGCTCATCAGGCACAGATTGGGGCTGCGGTGGCTCATGTGGTAAGACACTAGGCCTGTGTACCACTGAGGTCGGCAGCTTGGCAGTTTGATTCCCGTGAGCGAATAAACCATGTAGGGACAATAAAAGAGCCTCCACCGAATGCCTACCGGCATGCAGGTGCCCCTTTGGGTAAACAAAAAAATTCCTTTCACAGAGGCAGCCAGCCACTTCGATGATCCTTGGCTAACATGTGCCATATAAAAAATAAATAAGGCACAGATTTTTAAAAAAATCTAAACCACTAAAGCAGTGGTTCCAACCCTTTGCAGCTTGGTGGCCCAGCTGGGGGGAAGAGGGGAACCAGGCTGCATGAGTGGTGGGCTGGTGCACACACACACATGTGTACGCAGCTCAACTCACACAAGCAACAGACCAGCATATGCATGCAGCTTGACTGATTAAGCTGTGCATGTGTGCATGCCGGTCCATTGTTCATGCGGCCCGGTTTCCCTTTCCCCCTCAGCTGGGCCACCAAGCTCATGCATCCCTGTTGCAAATAGCCCTTGGCCCAGTAGTGGGCTGTGGCCTGGGAGTGGGGACCCCCACACTAAAGCACTGAAAGCAAGCAGATAACTGAGTCCTTGGAAAGTTCTTCCTATTCTTTCCTGAACAATCCAAAGGTCATAAGCAAGAACAACCAATGCCAGTTCAATAAGGTAAAGGTAAACGTGCTAGTCATTTCCAGCTCTGGAGGCGGTGCTTATCTCTGTTTCTAAGCCGAAGAGCCAGCGCTGTCCAAAGACGTCTCCATATTCATGTGGCTGGCATGACACCGAAGGCGCACGGAACAGTGTTACCTTCCCACCAAAGGTTGTCCCTATTTTTCCTACTTGCATTTGTACATGCTTTCGAACTGCTAGGTTTGCAGAAGCTGGGACAAGTAACGGGAGCTCATTCTATTATGTGGTGCTAGGTATTTGAACCTCTGAACTGCTGACCTTTCCTTTCCTTTTTAATAAAAGTTTTATTTAAGTTTTCACAAAACATACAAATGCAAATAAAATATCTTTTTTTGAGAACAGTGTGGCCCCGGGTTATCACTTCTCCATACAGACATAAACTCAATACATATTTATCTTATATATTCTAATCCATATCTTATAACTATTTTCACAATTTTTTCAATAGCTTTTCCCTTTCTTTACTTCCTATAGCCTTATTTTAAATTATCTCATTCCTTTCTTAATTCAATTAGATATCTTTTTCTAATTTTTAAAATCTTTCTAATCAGTGTTTTTATACTTTCGTCTGTCCTGTTTACAATTTCATATGATCTTTTCTCATAAAACAAATTTTCCCTGTAATAACTAGACTGGAATGTAACACCTTTGTATCTTTTTTCAAATCTTGTTTAAAAATTTAAGTTACACTTTTGCAGTTATAATATTCATTTTCTAACCTCTATTTTATAACATACTCCTATTTTCAATCGAATTCTGCTTGGTACATTCCCTTAAAAATACACACTAAATTCTTAAAAGAAAAAAGTATATATGTATATATGTATGTGTGTGTGTGTATATATATATATATATATGTATATGTATATGTATATGTATATGTATATGTATATGTATATGTATATGTATATGTATATGTATATGTATATGTATATGTATATGTATATGTATAACAATAATAAATGGAATAATTATTCTATTGAAGTACAGCTCTGTCATTAATATTAATAACAATCTTTTACATTTCTATTTCTTTTAACAAACATTACCTAGTAATATCAGTTGTCTTTCACTTTAATCATATTTCATATTTTACTTATTACTGTCTTTAAATAAAAAACCAAACAATAGTTATTAACAGTAGTCAATAAAGTTATTATTCTTATTCAAGTTCATCTTGTCAACTGATAAAAATCCTCCATGTTTCTTTTCGTTTTTTTTAAACTTTCTTTTTAATCATTGAGAGCCTTATTCTCTTTACAAACAAATATTCCACTACACATTTTTTCCACTACATTTTTTCTATCACTTTAATCATCTAACCTATTTTCTAAACCCTTTCTATTTCTAATATAATAATGCTATCCCATGCACCCTTGCAGAATCCTCTTCTTAAATTAAATTTTAACCATTGTCTCTGTGTCTTTTAAATAGGTTTATACCTTTAATTCTTGTACGTTTTTCCTGTACTTCTATATCTTGTTTCTGTCCTTTGTAGCTTCTTTTCCTTTCCCTCTTCCCTCTCTTCTTCTCCCTCCCCTTTTTATTCCCTTTTCTATCTTATTGTCCCTTCTGTGATCGTCCCTTCTGCTTCTTCCTGATATTATGATTACTTTTCAAATTACTCTTTTTTTTTGGTTGTTGCTTCAATGCTTAAGTTTTTAACTCCCTTCCCCCCCCCTTTCCCTTTTTTACCCCGCTTAAAATTGCTTGGTCATTAAAGATGGCTTCTTCATTGTCCCGTCCTTCTTGTTCTGCCAGCGTTTCTTGTTGTTTTTCATAGTTCAAGGTCTCCATTTCTAAAAATTGAAATACGAAGCCAAAAAGTCCTCTTCCCTCTTGTGCTTCTTTTTTTTTTTAAAGTCTCATTTTTAACTCTTCAAGGACTGATGCCATTTTAAAAAATTTTAAACAACCCCCAAGTGATTTTATTTTGTTTCATTAGGATCCACCATCCAAAGTTCCAGGAATCATCCAATAATCCAAAACTGTTTCTTGATTCTTTTCTCACTTTCTCTTTCCAGGGGCTTTGTTATCTTGTAACAAAGTTTCAGCTACAATGTATCTTTTGCAAGCCTTGTTAAAATTCCACTATCAATTTTTTTTTAAGTTCCAGGTGGTCTCCTCCATTTTCCAGATTCTGCCCTCTTTTTTCCTTTTTCCCTCTGCTGCTTTCTTTCTTTTATTAAAGAAATTTTTTTAATTATCCAAGAATCTTTATCCCTTTGATACTTTATTTTCAGCTAGAAATAGCCTATTAATGTCAAAGTGGATTAGTATCTATTTCTTATTCGAATCTCTTCATCTTAACATTCCAAGTCAATTAAAATTGTCAATGTGAGAGGAAAAAAAGCCAATTCCGTTTTCTTTCCCTTTCTCTTTCACCGCTTAAAATCATTTTTAGGAATAGTATTAGACTTTAAAATTCAGGTTCCATGTACCTTAAGTAGATGTTCTCCATTCAACCTGGTCAGTCAAACTTTTTCCTTTAAACTTCCTCCTGCACAATCTTGCCTAGTCGGGTTCTTCTTTGAGGTGGCCATTTCTGACCACTGCTGCAACCGCCTTTGGGAAAGGGAGTAATGGCCAGCCGAGGAGGAGAGATGCAGCTTTCCTCAACCCCGCTGATGGCTCCCCCTTCTTCACCACCTCTACGGGGTGGCTTCAGCCCTGAATCCGGGTGGCTCGGGGTGCTCCAGCGGCAGCATGGATCAAAACCGCACACGATCACAATTTCGGTCCATCACCGAAGAAGCCCAAACCGGAAGTCTCTGAACTGCTGACCTTTCTGATTGACAAGCTCAGCATCTTAGCCACTGAGCCACCACATTCCTTGTCAGTTCAATACTGTACCCCAATCAAAACCCAAACCCTGAAAAGGGTTCAGATAACCCACTTCATCCAGGATCCTCTGAAGCTGAATACCAACCACTCTCTCAATAACTTTCCCCAAAAGGAGACTGACATCAGAGCAGCATCCCCAATCAATGCCTAAAGTCCAAGTATACAAATAGGGTCTCACATCTGTGGGACAGCACTTCAAAAAAGTTGGATGATTGGAAACCCCTCTGCCCCTGCTTTGGGCATCTCATTTTATGCTGCATCTAAACTGTAGCACACATACTTCCAAGAAGAAACATGTCCTCCATGCTCATCCAGACTTTCATGATGCAAGCCAGGTCAGCCCTGTTATCTGTAATTAGATCCTGAGTGAGGGAAGCTTTACTAGAAGGTTGACCTGTCAACAGTAGCCACAATCAAAGGTTTGGTCTGCTAAAGGTCTAGTGATGAGGCAGTGGTGCAGAACCCAAGAGACAAGGCACAAGGCACAGAGATTGTTTCCTGAGTGTAGTCCACTTTGTCTCCTGCCTTATCTTCCCCTGTCCATTATCACTATGGTGCCTATCTAAATTAGGGCATGTTCTGTGAGGGCAACAATTTCAACATTGAAAGAGTTTCCTTCATTTATTAATTTTTTTAAAAAGGCAAAGGCCAGTTGCTGCTCATTCCTTAGTCATATCAATCAGTAACAAGGGATTTAAAGTGTCAAAATGATGAGGGATGCTTCAATTTTATTAACAGTGTAACTATCCTTATGTACTTATAAAATTTCAAGTGGCTGCCATCTAAAATAGCATGTGACAAGAAGGAAGCAATGAATTTTTATTCTATTGCGTTTTAAAGAGAAAATAGAAGGCCTTTTGGAGGCAAAAAAATAGAATAAAAATTTTCTGAGTTAATTGCTTGGGGTCTAATTAGACAGTCTAATCATTGGAGAACTAATCACTACAGAACCTGATTTTATTTGCATGTATTAATATGTACATGACAATTACACCCCCAGAGAAAGTACAGACTATACCCCAAAACTGTATTTTTAAATTTAGAAGCAAGCAAGACATTCCAAAACAGGTTAAATATCTTCTGTTGGTGTCAGTGATCCAAGGGACACTTTATGAAATGTTTGTGATATTAAAGCAGGACTCACTGGTCATATTGTTATCTTTTATTGAGGATTCCCTTGTTTGCTCATCTTCAAGGTCTAAAGAAATGTGTAGCAACTAAAATAATGGATAGAACTGATATCATGTGTGATTATTATGGTTTCCACATCATAGGTATGTCTTTTGTTATTTTTTAAAAATTATTTTTGGTAATTATAATTACCCAACATTTCAACATCTAACCCATCCAAAAGGTGAGGCGATTCTTTATTATCTTGCTAATATCTTGATTTACTGAAGTAAATGTGGTTTAGGGTGACCATCTATCTTCTCACCAATTGTATTACAATTCTTTATCTTAGATCCTAAGTTATTCATTATATATGGCAGATTGTGCATGTACCATATTTATAAGTGTAAGTCAAAAAAACAAATGTAAATATATCATGGTGTATATTAATGTCATTGCTGTCAGGCTTGGTTGCCAGGTTTTTTTTAACAGTAGTTAATTTTGATTGTGGTTGGATTGGGTTGCAGTGGCAGGAGTGAGATACAAATTAAATTTTTGTTTGTGATTTGTTTGGTTTCCAGTATTTATGAGTTCTGGCTCTGCAGTCAACTAACTCATTGATCAGTATATTCTGTACACATTACAGATGATGGGATAATTGAATGTTGGTGCTCTGATTTGAATGAAGCTTAATTTAAATAAATTCCAAACAAGATCATTTTTTTTGCTAGTGGGAAGGATGAATGCCAAATTTCCCCAACTACCACACTGCTCCTATGCCTGACAGTGGTATCTACTGCTTGTGCTTCACTGGAAGGATCAGGGTACCTAAAGAATTACAGCCGAGCCTCCATGATAGAATGCCATGCTTTTTGTACTCACCCTGTACTTCTCCTTCCCTCCAAAGTAAAACATGTTGTGCCTTTTCTTTTATGTACCTTTGGAGGGACGGCACAGTGGCTCAGCAGTTAAGACACTGAGTTTGTCGGCTGGAAAGCCAGCAGCCCAGGTTTGAGACCCGAGTGCCATGTGGTGGGGTGAGTCTCCTGCCAACCTAGCAGTTGAGGTGCTGACTGTAATCCTTTCTGATATCATGTGAAAAGCTCTTTGCTTTGGGTCCTGTTTTTCCAATGAGTGTTAACATTATCTAGTATGATTGGGTTGTTTTGTATGTTTTCTTTTGTTATGTTAATATGCATTGATTGTAGCACAATATGTAATATATGGACATACAGTTATGTTTCAAACCCATTTTTCAAAATATATATTTATGTGAACTACTGTTTTTGCTTACGGTTATATATAGTTTGGGGTGTAATAAAGGATCGCTACAATGAAATAAGAGTCTCTTGGATTTACTAGGGATTATTTGTCTCTTCCAGCTGTTTCCAGATTGAGTCGCACTAATTGGAAGACTAACCAAGTTTCTTACATGAAAAAAAGAAAAGAAAACTGGAAGAATAGCAGAGAAAGTTGTGCTTCAGTGGAAGGATCAGCTTCAGAGTTACTGTTATTACATTCACCCCCATGTTCATTAGTGAAGCCAGATCTAGTGAAATCACTTTCTTGGAGTCAGGCACCTCTCATAATACATTTTTCTTCTAGAGCTTTTTCCTCTGCTGAACTGCCTACAAGAATGGCTCATTTCTGGTAGCTGAAAAATGTGACAAACCATAACTCACTTTTTCATATGAAAACACAGAGTTGGGCCGAGCTGCGGGGTGGAATCTTGCAGCCCTTGCTGCTACTTTTTATTTGCTGGCTAGGTAGAAAAGCAGGAATGCTCTAATCCTGAATTTCTTCATGATTTCCTGTCAGCAGTTTTTTACTTCTCCCTCCTGAAAGCTCAAAATGGCATCTTGCAAAAAGGGTACTTTGCACTTTCACAAAGCCCAAAAGAAACCACACTAATATATGCAAACTAGACATATTAATTAATCCAAAACCCTTATCACACTCAATTTTTTATACAGAACAGGGCAGAAAGAATGCCAATCTCTTCCCCTTAAACCACCTTGCTATATTCCCAATGAGATTAACCCAGAAGAAAGGTAATATGCATTTTGAAGTAGAGAAGCCAGAGTTTTGTAATTACTTCACATTTATCATTTCCTCTCACCGATGCTATTGGGAACATGATAGGGTCAAAAATCAGCTCTAAATAGAACCATCAATCTCCCCATTGTCATTAAATATCTCCAGTATTGGACAAGAAGGAAGGTGAAGTGGAGACCGTTTGGTGCCTCTCATTGGTGTGGCTCAGAGAGCCACAACTCAGACTCTCCCCAATGCTGAGCAATAAAAGTCTTCTTGTATTTGGACACTGCATGTATGTGTATGATCATGCATTAAAACCTCTTGTATCTCTCCTTTACAGATCACGTTCAGGTGACTGAAAGGGAAAAAAAGATAATTTTCTTCCTGGTTTGGCAGTGAAAATGGGCAGTCTTCTCATCATGTACCACCAATATCTAACAAGTCCCCTCTTTCTCCACAAACTGACCCATGCTTCAAGTTTTCCCAGCAGTTGTAAGTCATCAGTTGCTTCAATTATGATCCTTCTCAAATGTCAGCCTAACACTTGGAGCTGGAGGAATCATAATGTTCTACTTGACAGATCTCCAAATCACTTCACGTTGTTCCATTTCAAAATCTCATGTACTGACTGAAATCTATATATGGCATACACTGTTTCTCATAACAAATGCAGATCCATTTAAATTCTCTCTCTCTCTCTCTCTCTCTCTCTCTCTCTCTCTCTCTCACACACACACACACACACACCTTTCTCTCTCTCTTTTCTAGTCCACCCAACTCCACAAGTTAAAACAACAACATTATATTGAAACAACTGTCTATCTGACGGAACAATACACCATTTTTTCACATATCCTCATCCTAACCCAAGGTTAGAATTTTTAAGGGTTGCTAAGGTAGGGGGGTGTACAAATTTCTGAAGGGAAGCTGTTCCAAATGGCAAATGCAGCTACAGAGAAGACTTACTTAATTGATGGGACCTCAAACAAGCCAACTCTTGAGCAGCCCAATATTGTCTATGGAAGGCAGGCTAGTTGTAATGGTTCTTTCTGCAGTCCTATCTATTCATTGGAGTCTGTACCTGTCTTGTTTGGTTGCCGTACCAAACCAGACAGTTATAGAAGTACAAATGACAGACTTAATAATTCCTCTGTAAAACTATATCAAGAGTTCTTGGAGCAGTCTGAACTTCCTGAGTTGACGCAGGAAGAACATTCTTTGCTGTGCCTTTTTAATGATGGTTCTAATGTTAGGTGTCCATTTTGCATCTTGGGAGATATAGAACCCCAAAACCTGGCAGACTATTGCTGATATTGTGCTGTTGTATATAGTAAGAGGTGGTAGAATAGAAGGGCTCCTCCTATGTAGAGAAAAATAAAGTTTTACACTTAGGAAAGAAAGGAAAGTTTTACACTTAGGAAAGAAAAAGTGTAAGGTTTTACACTTAGGAAAGAAAAAAAGAAAAGAAAAGTAAGGTTTTATACTGGTTTTATATAATGGAGGGTTTCTTAGGAACCAGGAAGATGGTAGAGTGTTTGAAGTAAGATGGAACATAACACATCTCCAGTGATTTATTAAAAATCTGGGTGAAGATGGGGAGCAGTTGTTCAGCACAGATTTTTTGGTAAGGAGTCATTCCATCTGTCCTTTCTGATCTTTTGTCTATGTGCATCTTTTTCTAAGATCATCAGAGGTGTGGGTTTACATTTTAAACATTCAAAATGTGGGGTTTCAATGAAACAACTTAAAATGAATGAATGAATGAATGAATGAATGAATGAATGAATGAATGAATGAATGAATGAATGAATGATTGAACAAAGGATGAATGAATGTGTGTTGA